TTTTTTTCTCTTTTGACCGGACACTATGTCCGGTGAAATTGAACACGTCCGGTCAGTGGCCGAAAATGGCCGGAAAATGTCCGACGTCCGGCCGTTAATCTATGCCCTGGTAGACTAGGTGTGCAGTGGTGGTCAATCCACATGGCTTTGCCAGTTGTGTGGATTAGACAGTTGTCTGGTGCAAGTCTTGATCTGTCTCATTCAGATCTTGTTTGCTATCGTTGCTATAAGAGAAAATCTGTGGGTGCACATCCAATGTATTTGCAGATTTGTGTGCTTCTCTTGCGACGGGCGTATACATGGTACATACATTGTCTGTGTGAGTGAGTGAGTGTGTGTGAGTGAGTGAGTGTGTGTGTGAGTGTGTGAGTGTGTGTGTGAGTGTGTGTGTGTGCGTGTGTGAGTGTGTGTGCGTGTGAGTGAGTGTGCTAGCTTTTAGACTCGGTTCTGATGTTGACAATGGTGCTGGCACTGACCAATGAGCACATTCACCATTGTTGCCATGTATGCATCAGATTGATGTTGTGATGAGGTGAACCGCTACTCGCGGGGGGGGGGGGTTGTCATGAGAACGCTGGTTGCCTGGTGTGATGTTGGCGTGGTGATCGACATCATTTTGAGACAGTTGTTTTCCTTGCCCTGAAGACTAAGGGTGCGTTTTTATATTCTCTAGCTTCTCGGAGAAGAAGAAAAGAGAAGTCGAAGAAACTTGCATAATTCAAGAACGGGTCTCCTCCATGTAGGAAGACAGTCTCCATATAGCATTTATGTGTCAGGTTGCTTAAAAGTGAGAGGGTGGTGGTGTTCCCACGGCTGCGAAACAAACAGATTGACCGGGACTCACGCAAACCGCGAATCATCATGAATGTGTTCTTACTGTAATGTGTGTAAAGTGAGGCAGACTTATTGCCGAAGAGACCAAAGTCACTACTAGTCTTCTATGCCAGACAGGTATTCTATACGAGGTAGGTATTCTATGTATAACAGTACTAAAACCAGGCGTATGTGCCAACAGGGCATCTTCAACATCAGGCTTGTATTCAAAACCGGCTTCTTTACAAGACAGGTTTCAACTGTAGAATGGTGCGCAGTGGCCAAGTGAATGTTGGTTTCCGGTGACTGCTCATGTCCAACATGTGTGCTTGGATGATGACTATAATCAGTGGTCAGAGCATTGCATAGCGAAGTTCTCAAGCTCTGGTAGTGCCAGTTACTTTTACTAGGATACCTGCGCCGTGATGCTACACACACCGACCACAGTCACCATTCCTCCTCTTGTTTATCGTGTTTTCTGCAGATATTGACGAATGCAGTGATGGGATTCACAGCTGTAATACCAATGCACAGTGCCAAGACATTGATGGTTCATACACATGTAGGTGTAAAAGTGGATACACCGGAGATGGCACAACTTGCAATGATATCAATGAATGTGCCAGTGCATCAAACCACGACTGCCACTCAGCGGCTTCATGTACAGACACAACTGGTTCATATACATGTATGTGTATTAGTGGTTACACAGGAAATGGCACAACGTGCAAGGGTATCAATGAATGCAGTGATGGGACTCACAGTTGTAATACCAATGCACAGTGCCAAGACACTGATGGTTCATATACATGTATGTGTATTAGTGGTTACACAGGAAATGGCAAAACTTGCAATGATATTGACGAATGTGCCAGTGGTATGAGTCATGGCTGCAATGTCAATGCTGGGTGTAGTAACAATGCTGGTAGCTTCCAATGCACATGTAATACTGGATACAGTGGAAATGGGATTCAATGTACAGGTATGCTGCTTACTGACTAATTGTCAATGAATTGGTTATGTGTGTTGACCCTTAGCCAATTATCTATTTCTCATTTTCTACCTCTTTCTCTCTCAATCTTGCTTACATCCGGACATTTTCTGCCTGCCTGTTTGCTCCTCTGTCTCTCTATGTCTCTGTTCCCCCCCCCCCCTCCCACCCACATCTCTCTCTACTTAGTCCGGCTTATCGCAATTGTCGCTTATCTATCGCCACCAGGGGCGTGCTCGGCCCCCCAACTAGGGGGGTGCACGGGAGCCCCCCCCCCGGCAATTTTCTGCAATATGTTTGCAACCTCTCTTGAATTTAAGAGCATATTTGCATCATTACAATTGCAATTACCCAGATTGAAAATTTTTGGGGGTGCACGTGCCCCCCGTGCCCATCGCCGAGCACGCGCCTGGCCACTAATAACTGGAGTTTTGTTACCGCTATGTGAAATTTTCAATAGCCATAGTGAGGAAGCATGATACATGAATACTCTCGGCCACAAGAAACAAAGTTCAGCAATGGAATCTGGTGAAGCGAGTCGAAGACGGGAAGAAAGGTTACAAGGAAATGTACAGAATAAATCAGCGAGGAAGCGCGTTCTTGCACTCACGCTTTCACAGGTCCAGAGTTCATTCAACTCTGCATTACTCGAGAGCTGCCGTTACTTGAGCTGACATTTGCCGGTGTCTAGCTGGT